GTTGAAGCATAAGTTCCCTTGTCTAATTTTTTATTTTTTGGGGCATCGAATGATGGGCAGTGAACTGGTGCTGAATAGAGAATGACTTAAAATAAAAATGCCCCAACATATCTAAGGACTATATGTTCTGCTATTTCAGAAAGTAACTCTTCCAGAATTTGAGTCCTCAAAAGGAATCTCACTTTCAGCTGAAACCCACCTGAGGTTCTTGTCAGCCATAAGAATAAACTTATTCATAAAATGCTCCTATCTTTCCTGTATCAGAATATACTGGGGATAACTGCTACAGGTCATTATGCCCTGGGAAAAGTTTAGTTTTTTGAATTCTCTGAGAAATATTGATTTATTGATGGCAATATCATTTTGTATTGGGAAAATCCAGCTCTCAGATCATTTTTGCTTCACAAATATTTAGCAGCTCTTTATGTTTATATGAAATATTACCAGACTTTCACAAGGCCATCCCTAAAATGGATGGGATCATTGCAGCAGGGTGCTGAGCTTGCAGTTTCTTCATTGACCCTGTGCTCAGCACCTGTCTGCATCTCTTCAGTTCTCCCTCGGTTGAGGCTATCCCGTATAATTGCTGGCATGTCCCCTGTGGAAGATGAACCTTATAAGTAGGAATGCTCAAATAGTGAAATTTACAGCTTTTGGCTGCAGCTAGACTTTCTCTCTGCGCTGTCAACACCAGGACTCATACCATGAGCACAAAGCAGGGAGTCGACATTTTAATGAACATTACCATAAGCCTGAGCTATTATAATATTGCAGTTATGCTGGGGGGAGGGGGTTACTGCAAAATGACCTTCGCTCAAGACTTTTGTATAGTTTGCTAACTGAATTGCCTGGCTTAATGGCCTTGCATTGGTGTGCAATGGCAACTGCCTCCTGGAATTTGTGATGTACCCCAGCAGTTGGGATAGGAGGTAGAAACAAAATGGGTTTCCCGTTGGAATCACGCTGGGAAAATGAGTGTGTTTTTGAAGAGGGATTGGTCCTGCCTTAAAGAAAGCATCATCAGCCATTGCTTTCTCAGATGGCTTCACCCTTTCTCCTTTGCTGCCCCGGCTGTGTAAACTTGCCTTTCTAGGACCCACAGCTGATGCCCCTTTTCTCTCTTCCTCTGTTTTCAAATGCCACCTCAAAACTCTTTCCCACAAATTCTTTGGGAAAACCTCTTAGTCCCCAGTTCTCACACATACTAAATGTAACAATGCTACATTCTTCTCCCATTTTCTCCTGTTTCCATCTCAGTCCCATTTCCCTGGCCCAAATTTTGTATCTGAAGTTTCCCAGGCCTTGTATGTTCTAAATAATTATATATATTGGTGGTGGTGGTGGTGGTGGTGGTGTTGCTGCTCCTGCTTATCATCATAATCACCATCATCATCATCACTGCTATGTAAATTGGGGTCCTTAGCCCTTCTGTGGGCACACTGGGCATTTTGGGAATGTCAAGGACACTCTCACTAAATGGCTGCCAGGAAAAAGTTGTTCACCTGCACAAAATGATTGCCACGGTGGCCAGCAAAAATGCTAATTTCACAGAGGGGAACCTAGCAACACTCAGAGAAAAGCACTCACAGAGGAGCAAAATACACACTCCTCAAAATCAAGCTCAACAAAGCACACACGCAATATAAATAAACTTGCCAGTCAGCCTTTCTCACAGGACCCTGCAAGAGACAGGCCCCTGAAACTTCCTGTTGCTCAAGGGAGTGGGAAGATTACTCTTTCTCGTCCTCCCTTTTTCAGCCCTTCTCTGGCTCTGTTAACTAATAGAAATGTTTCTGTATAAAACAATGTTTAGGAATCAGCGCCTGGTTAAGTTTCCAAAGGGTTATCTCCCAACGTCATTTTGCTGCTTAATGCATTCCTACTGCCATGTCATTTATGAGGAGACGTGTGTTGGCTGGGTAGAGTGCCATCATCTATGGTGACGTTGATTTATTTGCTCTGTAAATTGGGACTGGAGCAATAATGGAAAGTGACATTAATTGTTTTAACAGAGTCCTCTTTGTCACATTCTTTGCTTTTTCTCTGAGGGGGTGTTTGATTGTTTGAAACTTGTGCAAAAAGCTAATTGAAATTGCTTTGATGAGGCAGGCCAGTGTCCACTCCACATTCTGACTTTGAATGTCAACATGTTTCAGTGTCGGTGGGAAAGCGCAAAGGCAAAGAGTTGGGGTGACAAATGCTGAGGCTTCTGTAAGAGTTTATATGATCGAAGGAGGAATACTGACTTGAGAAGAGGATTTTTAAAAAGTTCTCTGGGAGGGTATGGTAAACAGCTGGGTGAATTCAGGACATGCAGAAGCGCTCCTCTCCAGGCCTATGGGCCCAAGAGATTCTGCTGACAAAACTAGTAGCAGCGAGGGATAGGGAGAACTTCAGAGTTTATGAAACTGTGCCTTGTAGCGATTTCATTTATTGATACAAAAATGCATACCCTGCTTTCCTCCTCCAAAATGTAGCAACTCAAAGCAGTTAATTGTATATGAATGTGTATATATAAAAGTGGGCCAAAAGTAGGTATACAGTACAATCAGGTCTTGTTTAGCCTCTTTGTCTCAACTTTGCAATATTCTGGAACCTGTCCCTGACACTGTGGCACAAAATCTGGTTAGCACCCATGTTGATAAAGGCTTGAGAGATTAACTCCTTCAATTTGCCTACTGTGTGCGGTGTCCTCTGTGACCTGATCAGTATTGCATACCTACTTTTGGCCTACCCTATACACACATGCACACATCAATTATCAAAATATAATGGGGTGGGAGGGGAAGAGTCCTAATGAACAAAAAACCAGAAAAGCAAAACTTACAATCAAGGTACAAATTGAGTAAGAACAGAATCTACCCCCCTCCCAAAGGGAAATGTTTTCAATTTCTGGTGGAAAACAAATAGGTAAGATGATAATCTCTTTGGTAGTAGGTTCCACATAAGGGGCACCATCAAGAAATGTCTCTTGCATCTTGCCACCAGCCAGGCCTCAAGGTACAGGCAAAAGGCTGCAGCAGCTGAGCTTAAGGAAGAGCCAATTCACATGACAGGAGACAGACCAGAGGGCATAGTTGTCTCTATTTGAGGGATTTGAATGTATTGGCCACAATCCAAAACAGATGTCTATATGTGCATTGAAAAGGTATTTGCCCACATATGTCCTCTAGTAGCACAAACATGTGCAGAACCCTTTTGAAAAATTGGTTTTGACTAGTAGAAGTCCTCCCAGTTCTTTTGAACCTCAGATTTGCAAAAGCAAGTAGAATGCCCAAATTCACTTCAGATTTTGCTTCCAGTGCAATCCAACGACAACCTAATGACACATGGAAACTCCCCACTGAGAAATTGCTCTAGTTCTTAGTAAAGCTAGCCCTTAGCAAAACTCTCTGTGCCTCCACATTTCAACATAACTAATTCTGTGCAGGCAATTTGAATACCCAAGGATCTGAAAGTTGTTTGACCATTATGTACAACAACAGCAACGAAAGGGTGTGTGGAACACTCTGCTAACGTGTATGCAATGAAAAGAGATCACTGCATGTAGGCCAATCATGTGCCAAGCTTAGGGAGGCAGCAAGTTTTCTCTTTCTTGTTATTCATCAAACAAACCATTTCTTTCTGTTGTTCTCATGTAAACTGTGTTTGCCTGACAGGCAAGGGAGCGGTTGGGATAAGTTAGAGGAAGTTAGAATGAAGAAAAATCAGTTTTATTGACTCTTGGCTTATTGAATAGATGCACTTACAAACCTTGTTTCTTTATTGTTAAATCTTTATTGATACCTAATAAGCATAACAACAACAAAATATTAGAAACAAGGTTTGTAAGTGCATCTTTTTGCACATCAGGCCAACACTTTTTTGGCCTTGATCAAACAGTCTAAATATACGCATGCTTAAATGCTTCCCCCTCACACACACACTGAAGATTTAACTGCACAGGAGTTAATTCAGTTAAGAACTGTCCTAACTAATCTCTACTGAGAAAATCTTTTGTTCTGAGGTTTGCACTGTGTTTCAGGTACTACCCCTTGTCTGTTCCTGGGTGGTATTAAACTACTTAAGTATGACATCTGCAGAGAATATCTAAACTGTTTCCCTTTTCTCTCTCTTTCTGAAAAATGTATTTGACTGCCAGCAAAATCTTTGCATGGACTCCATAGGGAGTTATCCCAAGCCCTAAGTCATTAATAATTGTGGTGACAAATCTCTAAAATATAATAAGTGCTTTTATTTTTCTGCCTTCCAAATATATGTATGATAATTGGAACGTATTGCGTTGAGAAATGCTAAGATTTGATGCAAACAAGTCCCTGGTACTGAAATAAGATATCTAGTACAAATTAACATTGCAGCCACATCTGATTAGGAATTAATCTACTTTTTATAATTGCAGCCTAAATTAGATAAAGCATACGGTAGTTGTATTGGGCACTCAAACTACATTGACTGAAAAGGACAACTTCAAAGGCAACCTGCAGAATACAAGTATTTTAAAAAAGAAACCACCAGCACTACTAATAAGAGCATCGATAGCTATTCTTCAGATCTGTAGAAATATGGGGCTATGTATTGGTTACTAAATTTGGTAGTTGGAGGAAGCATCTAGAGGGAAACAATGGTGTATGCATCTTTTCTCCTTTTGTGCTTCTCATTTAATGTCTTATTTTTGAGAGAGGTAGTTTTGCTAGGTGTTCATTCATTGGATGAGGGTGAGAGACATACATATATCTTGGATGCAGAACAAAATATATATGATGATTGAGTAAGATGTGTTAATGTGGGATTAAAAATAGAGCACTGGATGGTGAAATACGAAACAACAGTTGCAACTTGTAATAGGTATGTTACCCAAAAGAGCACCCTGGCTAAGTTAGTTGCAATATTGCAGCTTACTCTTACAAAAATTGGTTTGTCCAAATTATGTGCTTTGTGCCTATAAAATTATACTATTCCTCCCTGACTGACTTTTCTGTCTTTCCCCCCTACTTTTATAGAAGATAGATGAAGAGAATGAAGCAAACTTGCTAGCAGTTCTCACAGAGACATTGGATAGTATCCCTGTGGACGAAGATGGATTGCCTTCATTTGATGCACTGACAGATGGAGATGTGACCAATGAAAATGATACTAGCCCTTCACCAATGCCTGACGGCACCCCTCCACCTCAGGAGGCAGAAGAGCCGTCTCTAGTAAGAATCTACCTTCCTACCATTTTACAGGAAATGGAGGTGCCCTCTCACTATCCACTACATGGGTATGACGTAGTCACAATAAGGTTTGGACTTTTAATTTAGGCTGGAAACCCAAAGAAAACTAAATCACACTTCGAAATTTGTGGGAAAGCTCAGAATAAATATAGGTCTGTTTCTTAAGAAATTCTGCTGGAGAGGATCTGTAGTTTTGGCCAGTTGTTCTTCTAATACATGACAGTTGTTGCTTATGTTCAGAAAAGAAGAACTGTACATGTGAAGAGCTGGGCTGGGTCATATCAAGGGCCCATCTAACCCAGCATTCTGTTCACATACTGGCCAACCAATCCATGAGTAGGACATTCACACACTAGCACGCTGCCTCTGATACTGGAGGTGGCATATAGTCATTGGGATTACTAGCCATGGACAGCTTTATCCTCCATGAATTCAAATATATATCCTTACTAGAGGCACTCTGGCACACGTGTTAGCAATGTGTTAAAAGACATTTATATAATAAGGGTTGGATTCAGTTTTGCTATCATTTAATTGTCTGTTAAGTGGGTGAAAGGAAAAGAATTCCTCTGTGTAGGCGGATGAGCTATTGAAGCTGCCCCTCAAAGAAGTAAGTAAATGACTGCCCACTTGCCAATGCAGAAGCAAGAGGGAGCTATGCTGATTTTTAGTTTTCAGAAAAGGAGACGAAATCCATGCCTGCCACCCTCCAGCCCATTCTCTGAATAGTGAAACTAATGGCTGAACAGGCCCCTGGGTAATAGCCATATTGATGCCAACCAGTTCCTCAGAGAACTGACAATGTTAACAGATAGTCACAACCCCGAGGGCACATTTGTCATACTGATTTAAACAATTTTAATAGTCACACCCTTCCTCCCGGAAATGCTATTTGAAATGGCTGTAGTAACTAAAATTTTGTGAGATGGCCTGCAGGGGTGAGCAACTTGCAGCCCTAGACCTCAGCCTAATTTCAGAGTCTCTCACATGCCACTGGTTCAGACCTCTGGTGACAGCAGTTTGTTCTTCCCCTAGCTGTGGCAGAAAAAATAAGAATAGGAGAGAAAGGGAGGTGGCAAATTGAGGAAAGGGGGTCAGCTTATGGCTCTGGCCCGCCACTGACACACAGTGCTCAACACATTGTCCGAGAGAGAATGTAGCCCTTGGCAGAAAAAAGACTGCCACCTCTGGCCTAGAGCTTATACTGCTGGAGAATTCACAGTACCCTTTCCTAGTGACTGTTCTCTGGATACTTTAAGGAAACCTTGACAGCTAAATGGCTGTAACAGTCTGGCCCATTATACCGCAAAAGTTAATAAACAGGATGTGTGTGGAGCCTCCCAGTTTTCTTGAATGTGTTTAGTCGTTTCTTTTTCCCCTGTCTCAGTTCACACATAATGTGTTTGTCTAGGGGAAGTCTCGAGTTTTTTGCTAGATATATCTAAAGTACTTCCAAATACCATATTGCAGGGCAGCCTTC